GCTTAAAGGCACATTCATTTTGCTTCTAAGAGACCAAGGCCATGGCATACAACATCATGGCCATTGAGAACACACGACTCGCTCACTGGAATAATAGAGCGCGAAATCGTTGCACAACCCACGCTTTCCAACACCGAAAGCAGAAACGCCGAGCCTCAACATCGGCACATACCCCCTAAACGCCGCTTCCGCCCGTCGTTGGACTGGATGAGATATATTTATATGAAGCCATTTTGGGCTGTTGAACAGTCGTTTTACATACCTATGCCAGGACGGCATTGCATTTGCTTACAGGCGAAGATTGTGACTGCACTTACTCTTATACCCACCATTTTGTCATTTTTCGTTCGCACCTGGGGATATTATTTTTAAGCGGGGAAAACAGTACCGCAAAATATTATCATATTGTCTGCATCTTGGATGATATTAGTTGTTCTTTCTACTTTTGTCCTTGGGGTTTCTAGGTTACAACAGGTCTGTCGCAAAGGGTTGGTGTCGCGTAAAGAGATAGGAGTGGGCATAGGGAAACTCCCCGTCATTACTTGAGAAATATTTTGCCAAAGAAGCCGTCTTTTCGACCTGCCTTGATCATGTATGCTGATATGTGCCATGTGTGTACAACTCATAGACAATGAGATATGAGACTACCAATGTCTATTCCCCAATGCATGCATAAAACCTATTGTAATTTTTCCTCTTCACGTATCACTCATTCATTCGTTTGACATAGGCGCACTGCCTCCACCCAGCCACATCTGCAGTGCTTCGCAAGCACTCAGATCCAGTGGCGGCGGCAGCTCTTTTCGGTGCGGTATCGTGTTGCGGAATAACTGTATGGCACCACACAGTGTCACGTCAACTCAGCCAGAACCCGTCACTTACTTGGCTTCTTTGCTTCGTCGCCGCCGACTCCCATGCCGATGCCCTTCCGGCGACCCCTGACCACTGCTTCGAGTGCCTTGCCCATAGCCGGAAGATCGCCGAGCATGGTGATATGACCGCGTTCGGTGCAAACCCGGCCACCACGGACAATAGAATAACCCTCCGGAAGCATAGCCTCTTTCGCTAATACGACGCCATCTCCTGGTCGAAATAGAAGATCGTCGTAGGCGTCGGAACAACAAATTCCTTCCCGGCTAGTGACCTGGGCAGCATACACTGTAGGAATACTCTTGCTATAGAGCACGGCATGAGGGGGGTAGGCATTGGCTTCTTGGTGCTCGGGCGAGTGGACGAGTTCGGATCGAAATTTGCGTGTCGCTGCAAGAGTTCGACTGAGGTAGTCCAAGTAACGTTTGCGTTCCAAGTCTGATGGCTTCTTTTCCTCCACTTTGGCGCCGCTCCCGTTCAGCTGTGGTGCCATAGGGTTGTGGTCTTGCGCAACTGCCGTTGGCGAAGGCGGGCCTTTCTCGCTTCTGCTCTCGGCACGAGCTCTTAGCGAACTCGGAAAGAAGGACGAGAAAGACGAGGATTGCGGGCGGTTATGAGGCGGCAAAGTAGGCTGCATACACGGGCTTAGATGCCACCTGATCCATTCGTAGGGATCGTAGAAATCGATAGGATACTCCTCTCCCGTATTCTTATCTACAAAACAGAACCCGTCCTCTGGAAGGAAAACAAAAGACGTTCGCATGCTGAAGTTGACGCTTGCAGTGAGAAGCTTCTCATTTAAGAGCACTACATCGCCATGACGTAGTGGATTCAAGATGTTAACACAACGCTGTGGCGTGCCGCAGTACAGAACCCCTGAGAATAGATCGGGTCTCTGGTTGACAGCATGGCGTGTAATGATGCCTCCCAAGCTGTGAGAGATGACAAGAGCTCCGCGAGAACCAGATGGTGTCCCGGGCTGATTTGAAGGTAACTTTTGCAGGTACTCCTGCAACTTGCGAGATAAAAGACGAGGACTCAATCTCCAATCGTAACCGTAGTCCCAGATTCGTAGCTTACCCGATTTGGCGTTGTCACAAGAGCGGAGCTTCTTGATCAACTTTCGAGAGACGTCGACGGGACCGATGTGTTTTAACATGCCATCAGGTTTGATGGTCTCTTCCATACGCTCCTCGTCTTCATCCTCTAACCCGACCTCCAAGTTGACTTTGCGCATATTTAGCCCGAGTTTCACGGGTGCCCAAACCTGGTGGTAAGGTGGCTCGGCGGATCGTAAGACTGAGCCACGGTAGCCGCCCATGATCACCAAGTCGCCAGTCAAAGATTCCAAAACCCGGTCCAGGACAGCCGATCCATCTTGCGAGTCGATGTCAAGACCTTTCGGAACCTGGCTTTGGTTCGGTGGCGTGTCAGGGGTGTTGAATGTACCGAGAGAAATCGTTGATTTTCGAGCTTGACTGTAAAGTTTAGGGAGACTAGGCATCTTGAAGTTTGGCACATCAGGAAGGCTGTCTTTGAGGGCCATAAACCGAATGTTGACCATCTCACGGACGTCCTGGAAACGTTCGTCATCACCAAGAGAAGACGTACGAGAAAGACTGTGATATAGACGAGTGTCGTCTGATGTGACTCGCCTGAGAGCCTTTGGTCGCACAGGGGGAGATGATGTGCTTGGTTCCTGAAGGTTGGAAGCGGGCCTTCGAATTTGTTGTGATAATGGCTGAGCGACACCGAGAGCGTTAGACGGGATTCGAGACGAATGCTGGCGGGTTACTGGGGATGAGTGACTTGGGGCGGCCGGATGGTTTGCACTCGATTTATCCTGAGAACTTGAGAAGAACGAGTTTGACATGGAAGGTAAGAGATGTGTAGGCGGACTAAGAGACGGCAACGCTCTCTGGAGTCTCCTCAATGCCTCCTGTCCCGCCGACTTGGATCGATTCCTAGCTGGTGCCAATGCGTTGCCCAGAATACTTCCAGACGGTCTGCTTGTATGACCCTTGGTCGCTGGTGGCTTCGGTCGAGCTTGCCACGGGGAAGGCAAGTCATGTTGAGGTGGCTCAGGCGATGTGGGCACGGGGAATCTGGTTGAAGCAGGAAACTGTGGTACCCGAGGTGACGTCTCTGGTGAAGACGAGAGATCAGGACTTGTGTCACCAGCTCTATCTGTGGGCACACCAAAGAAACCAGCCCGACTCTTGTCCAATGCCAGCGCCTTCTCAATGGCGGGTGTGTTTTGTGAGGTCAAATGTCTAGCAGCTTCACTCAAAGCGGGTTGCAAGATTGCCTCGGCCTCGTCTTGGTTACAGATGATGGAATCTTCATCTTCTTGCAAGTCCGTGCTTTGAATACGCGGTAAAGGCTCAGTTGATGCATTTGTAGCCATGGTTCACAGAGTCGGGCTCGATCAGCAAGTTAGATAGGTAAGTAACAGTCGAAACATCAATCTGGTACAACGTGATGACAAAAAGAGGATTGAAGTTGAATGGTGGTTTGCATGAAAGGTCCGAGACGTTATGTTGAACCGGGAGGCTGAACAGAGACAGGATCCGTACAATATAGGAATATGCTGTTTAAGGAAGATAAACCGAATGATTGTCAGACATGGCAGTGAAGTAGTTCTTATTTGTTCCTCGGCCCAAACTAAAGAATTAAAACTGACCACGGAAACGGAGGCAGGGACGGAGGCGGTGGAGCTGAACCAGAGGAATCAATCCTCAACGGGGCGGCTGGGCTATGTGCGCTGATCCGGGAGGCCCGGGAGTGAATGGATCCACGATTGATACTTGGTGTTTAGGTATACGGTTGTGCTCGTTCTCGTATAGTTCCGAACAGCAATGCGAGTGTGTCTGTAATGGTTGAAAGGGCTCAGCATTTTATAGTCTGACAATAAATAAATATATAAGAATAACTCGTCCAATGTCTCAGAGTCTTAGCCTTGATCATTGTTGGTTTAATGAGGTCATGGTTTAAAGAGTAAAAAATAAAACGGGGATTTGGGGCCAATTGGGGCCGCCAGGAAGGGGTTTAGGGAATAGATCAACAGACGAGTTATAGGGCAAACAAGACAAGGCGGATGACAAAGGGCCTGTTGGTCTTGGATACTGTACAAGACAATTACCAAGGTGAACGAAGCACTTGATGCAGTAGGTACTAAGATCATGGGTAGCAATTTGGTGTTTTTGACCAAATTCTTACAATGCTCCAACTGGCAAAGACAGTTCCATCGCTGGGATCCCCGAATTCCTTGTTCTGGAAGGAGCCAAGACCTTGGCCAACCTGCCTAGTCTAGTGGGCAGCAGAAAAGTTGGCCTCCTAAGTCTTAGGGTATAAAAATAAGCAGTCTAAGAACTGTACTCTAAGGAGGATGAAGTGACCTGCTAATTTTGTCTCTTATGCTTCCAACGGTCAATTTTTCTGACACCCTGAGGGTATGGTACTTACTTGCCCAGTCTAAGCATAGGTAGCAAAACAAGAGGCAGGTACGGGTCGAGGCAGGCAGCATGTGACAATGGACCCCAGATTCTAGCTGGACTTGCATCTTTGCAAATTGATTCCACTGCAAGATTGACATGCAAGAGAATACTACTGATAGACAAACAAGACTCAACTGCCAACGAAATATCATACACGGAGGCTCATGATATACTCTCAACGGCCTCTTTACAGAATACAGCACATTGCCAAAAAAGTCTTTTGTAAGTGCGAAGCGAGCAAACAACACAACATAGTCCATCATAGTATAGTACCGGTATGGGCAAACATCTATTCAGCTACTCATCGTTCTTCAATCATCAATTGTTGCATAGAATTCAGCCTCATCCTCCTATCATCCTTCTTCACAGCCCCAGAAACAGCCCTGCCACATTTCTCTATCATGCCCGCTCAACGTCATCGACCGGTGCATCTCAACGTTGTTCCCCACTCGGCCCCGATCAACGGCGCCGACAGGGTTTGAATTCCATACAGTGTCATGACCTCAGCTAATCAGATGATCCTTTACCGTCTAGTCTAGGCTATTCTGTTGATCATCTTTTTGATGTAAACATCAGTTACAACACATAAATCCATTGCCTATTGTCGCTGCTTGAACTTGTCTGCTCTTCATCATGACAACCCTCGAGCCTCGGCCTCCGTACTCACAAGATGAGCTCAAACAGTTATATCCACTTCAATTACGCCTTCAGCACGTCCAGGTCCTCCTCCGACATGGCGAACGCACACCGGTCAACGCTCGTTTCGCATCTGCGGGTCTCGCGACCTACTGGCCCTATTGCTCAGCAGCTCGTCGTATGACGAGTGCCATTCTGGATCCTTCCGTTGCCAACTCCCAAATTGATTCTGCCTCAAATCCTGGCATTACTGCTCTCGAGTGGAAGCGGCGAATCGAGAAATTTGGCCCTGATGATTCCCCCATCGTAGCCACCGGCCAACATGGCGAGCTCGATGCTATTTGTGAAATGGGTATGTTGACCGATCGTGGACGAGAAACTACCTACAACCTTGGTCAGCGCCTGCGACATTTATATGTCAACCAGCTTCGCTTTCTCCCGGAGAATCTCACTACCGACACTGATACGGCTGCTATATACCTTCGAGCGACGCCTATTCCTCGTGCTCTCGAATCTCTACAGCAAGCTTTCTATGGTCTTTATCCTCCATCTACTCGTGGCTCTCACCCTGGCCTCCATCCCCCAACCATCCTCACACGATCACCCGCTGATGAGACCCTCTTCCCGAACGACGGCAACTGCCGCCGGTTCGCCACTCTTGCTCGTGCTTTTGCTGAACGCTGTGCCGAACGATGGAATGATTCGGAAGATATGGCATATCTAACTAAACGCCTCGGCCGCTGGATGCCTGAAGATACCCCGCGTGTTGCTGTAAACTCTCGTCCTCGTCTAAGTGGAATCATGGATACTATCAATTCCACAAAGGCTCATGGCCCAGATACTCGACTTCCGAAGGAGTTTTATGATCCAGAGGTTAAGCGGATCATCGAAAAGATCGGTGTTGAGGAATGGTATGCCGGCTATAAGGAGAGCGAGGAGTATCGCACATTGGGTATTGGTGCTTTACTCGGCGACATAGTGTCTCGCTTGGTCGGCAGCGCCGAGCATTCGACTGCGGATGGTGAGTATGAGCTGGCCACCAATAAACAAGGCTCTATCACTATACATCCGTCTGTAAAATTTGGAATGAGCGGGTGTCATGATACTACACTTGCCGCCACGCTTGCCAGCCTTGGTGCTTTCAACGAAGAAGCCTGGCCACCATTCACCAGTCATGTCGCGATTGAGCTCTTTCGCCATATCGATACAGCCACCACGGCTCCCAAACCCGGCAGCACCCTCTCTTTCGTGGGTTTGGGCAACAAACCAACACCTGTGGCTGGAATTCCACCACCAGGCATTGGTCGGAAGAAGACCCCAGACCTTACCGAGGAGGAAAAAGAGCGACTCAAGGGCTACTATGTCCGAGTTCGCTACAACGACCGTCCAGTCTCAGTCCCTGGCTGCAAATACCAGGGCAAGCACCTCGATGGCGATGAGTCCTTCTGCACCCTAGTAAGCACTCTAGCCCATATTCCTTTTCTTTCGCATTACTCATCTTTTTACTAGGAAGCCTTCAAGGAAATCGTGGACAAGTACACACCTACTAATTGGAGAAACCAGTGTCGTGCCAACATGAAGGAATCTGCGTTTCCTTCCAAGCCCGAACCTTCGGGTTACTGAACGTGTGAGCAGCAGGATGGCTCAAGATACAACGATGATGCGAGTTTAGACTAGTCTTAGCGTTGGAGTTTAAGTGCTTTCGTTAGACTTAGACATTAGAACGATTGCATATTTATACGCAAGGTGTGGCTATCCCTAAGGACAAGCTTAATGTGATATATTGGTCAAAAACATGTTTTTGTGATCGTATAATCTGCGTTCAAGACTAGTGCTTAAACTAACCTAAGACTCCGTAGTAGACATAAACGCAGGTGATATATCCTCTCATCCGTCCCATGCAGAATCCCTTCTTTGCAAACAGCGTCTCGTCTCAACCATGAGCGCCCTCATCTTATCTAAGAGGGCGTATTAATCACGAATCTCGTTTCCGCTAACGCTCTCTCTCAACTGAGCAGAACATATGGACAACTTTCAGAGCATAAAAAGTCAAGATACACCGAAAGGGTAAATTATCAATAAAAGAAAACAAAGAATGAAGGTGTGCAAAACCCAGGCATCAAGGGGAAACGCCATAAGCGGCGTCAATTACAACGTTTAAGCAAGTGTTTTTCGTCCAATTTCGCATGTGATGAAAACATAAAAATGCACAAGCGTCATTAGTTGGCAACCTCCTCCTCAACCCATCCGTTCAGGCCTCCTTGGATGGCCAGGCCGAATCCTGATCCCATGCCACCATAGCTAGCTTGGTAGTGATGACCTCGTCGTTCATTCTCGGCGGGCATGCCGTTGGAGTTACCACCATTCTCAAATCCAGGAGCAAGCACAGGCAGACTGACAGCCCTGCTGTGTTGACCACGACCGGGTGCTAAGAGGCCACCAATGGTAGTTGAACCGGGTGCTGCGCTGTTGGCCGGGTAGCCATTTGAGATGCTTGCTGACTGGCCGTGACCGGAAACGGGAACTTGTTGAGACATGGCGAGATCGAGGTCGCTAGGTGAGGGCTGAGCTGTGCCGAACAAAGCATTCTGCTGAGCAGCGATCTGCTGCTGCTGGTGATGCTGTTGTTGCTGAGCCTGGTGGGACACTTGGCTCAGATACATTGTCAGAGGGTTGCTGTTGGCATTGAAGAGAGCAGCTGACTGTTGAGGAGTGTTGCCGTTGGTAGGAGAACCACTGTTCTGGGATCCGTTAGGTGGGGGAGAAGAGACACCGTCTCCGCGAGGAGACTGAGCCTGCTGCATTTGGCGAGGTGGGTTACCGCAGCGGTCCTTGCCGAAATTGACCTTGAACTTCCTGTAATCCTCCCGGCCCCGAATAGCCTCGATGGCCTTGATAGCATTGGCAATGTTGGTGAAGTTGACAAAAGCACAGCTCTTTTCGCGCAAGGTGTTGACAAGTTCAATCTCACCATACTCGGTGAAGTCCTGTCGCAGTCGCTCTTCGGTCCATGTCTCGTCAAGGTTACCGATGTAGACATTTCGGGAAGCACCTCCGCTTACAGCCAGAGCGATGGCTGGGGGAAGAGCTCCAGAGTGCTTGCCCCAGCCGATCTTGAGACGTCGGTTATGGATCATGAGGCCCTGGATGTTGCTGAGGGCGTAGAAAGATGCAGCTGCGGTCGGATCGATGAAGGTAACGAAGCAGATATGCTTGTCGGGGATGTAACGGATGTGATGAAGAAGTCCGCCACGAACAACATTGCAAATCTCCTCAATCGTCGTCTCGGGGTGGATGTTGCCCAGGTAAATAGTTCGGTTACCAAGGTTGTTAATGCCACCAGCAGTCGTGGCGACGGCAGCGGCAGCAACAGACTGCTGAGCAAGGGCATTCGAGATCAAGTCACGATCGGCGCCTGTCAGCATGTGGGCGTATCCAGGAGCGATACCCAAGTACTGGGCAGCGTTTTGTTGCTGGGTCTTGGAGACATAGGCACAACGATCCTTGCCGTAGTACACGCGACGAGGAGCCTGCCACTTGGGCTCCTGTGGGAGCTGAGAGACCGCCTTGATGGCATTGGCAATCGAGAGGTAGTGTACGAACGCAATGCTCTTCTCGCGGACAATCTTGATTGTGTCAATTGCACCGAACTTACCAAGATCCTCTCTCAGTTCCTCCTCGGAGACCTCCTCGGGCAAGTTACCCAGGTATACATTTCGCGATGCGCCTGACTGCTGGACAGCCAAAGCGACGGATGTAGGAACCTGGGAGGGCTTACCCCAACCAATCTTGATATCCTGACCCTTGATGCAGAGCTTTTTCAAGATAGCATCAGAGTGGAAGTGAGTAGCAGAGCTAGCATCGAGGAATGAGATGAAAGCACAGTTCTTGTCAGGCAAGAGACGGACAGACTCGATTTGACCACTTCGAACATGACCAAGAATCTCCTCAGCAACAGTGTCCGGGGGGATGTTACCCAGGTAGACAGTTCGGCTAGTTCCTGTAACGACACCAGAGCCCATTGAAACAGGCGAGGTGGGAGGCAGAGGTGCTTGCATGCCGTAGCCACCAGTGGGGGACTGGGGAGGATAGAATTGAGGAGCACCGTAGGTAGAAGGGGAGACTATTCCTCCATACGACTGGGGTGAGATGGTATGCTGCACAGGGCTTGAGATCCCATTCTGCTGGTGGTGGTTTCCCTGCTGCTGTTGAAATCCAGGAAGGCTCTGAAACTGAGGGCTGGCGAAGGCAGCTGGGGTGCCAGGCTGAAAGGGACTGCCGAGAAGCAGCTGAGAAGGCAAAAGGGGGGTAAATTGCATGTCAAATGCAGTACCCGGGGTGGCCATATCTGCTCCATTATTGGAAACCTGCTGGGCCATCGGCTGAGGCTGGGTGTTGATTGAGGGGATGTTGCCTCTTCGAGGGTGTCGATCGGCGAAGCCCGAGATGTTGGAGTTAAAGGCACCGTGGGAGAATCCAGTATCACTGTTGGAAGGCTTCGAAGCGTGTCCGAAGCGGTTGGCAGGGCCGTTAGGGGCACCTTGGCCAACTGGGCCATTGAGGTCTTGCATGTTGAGCAGGTGAGGGGGGACAAGCGAGTCCCGCCCAGTGTGCGACAGTACAGCCGTTTTGAAGAATTGGACGTGCCCGATCAAGGCACGAAAAGAGCAGCGAAGTTGAGAAGATAGGCCGGCTGAAGAACTTCAGACGGTTCAAGTCCTTGTTCGAATTCCTAGCTGCACAGCAGAGCTGATCTTTCAAGAGACAATCGTTCAAAATCTCGAGAACAAATCCAACAAGAGAAAAAGAGGACCGTAGCTGGAGCTAGTAGTTATGCAGAATAAAGCCGATAAAAATCGAGAATTATGAAGCGTATCGACGTATCCAAAGGGGAATAAGGCGAAAGAGCTCAATTGAATAAAAAAAGGTCGTTCCAGGAAGCAACCATTTAGTATATATGGATTCGAATTTGAAATGTTCGGCCGAGTCGAAACAGGAAGTTTTGGCAAGGCTGAAGATGCAAAATGATGGTTGTCGATTGCAAGAGTGAATGTATCGAAAGGTCGAACGAGAAACGTAAATCACGACAGTGCGTAACTTGGCTTGGCTTAGGATAATATCCAGAGGAAGACGAGCGAGCAGGTAAAAGTATTAATAAAGCAATATGGCCGGAACGAGTGTCGACGAAGCCCAAAACTATTGTCTCAAGAGAAGGAAGAGAGACGACACTGCATCTGCTCAGAAGCAACGAGAGCTTTTGAACAGAGTGAGTGAATATCCGAGGAGAGAAGAAGAGACGAAAGTCGGCGTCGGTGAGAGGACGGCACAAATTTGGAGGGAAAGAGGAACCAAAAGAGGGAGAGGAAGAGAGAGAGGGATGAATTGCGATGTCGTTCAGGTCAGGGTTGAACTTCAAGAGATCAGGGACCAAGGAACACAGGGGGCGTGTGAGGTGAGCCTCAGGCCGACAGCCAGGACAAGAAGATTAGGTAGGTAGCTGTAGGTCGGTAGTGAGTGGTAATAGAGCCGGTCCAATTCAGGCCAGACCAGTCCCGTCACGTATTATGTACGTAGGTAGGAGATAATAATGCAAGGTAATAATGCCTAAATGAGCAAAGAGGCGCCAGGGAGGGAGAGAGAAAAGGCCAGACGACCAGGTAGGGAATGAGGTGGAGGAGGGTTGGTGGGTGGGTGGAGTGTGCTGTAGATTTAAAGAAGGGATAATTAGCACATTCGAAGAAGAGGAGGAAGAAAAAGAATAAGAGAGATTGATATTACAAGAAGAAAAATGATAAGATGGAGTTATAGAAGCAAAACGTAAGAACGAAGGAGATAAAGAATAAGAGTGATACCTAGAGAAGGAGCAAAAGACCAAGAAAGCAAGAGGAAGGTAGGTACTTGGGAAGGAAGGAGCAACGAATGGGTGGACAGAGACAAAATGTTATGCAGAGCATAATCAATAGATGATTGAATTATACATCACCAACTAACTTAAACTACCTGAACCAACTAACTTCGTGAATAGAAATGACTGATGGCCAGCCAGTTCATCGCAGTCACACAAAGAGACAAAAAGACACGGCAACTCTAGAATGTCAATGCACAAGGAGACAACCAATCCAATGCACAAACATAAATTAACAAGCCTAGTCGGGACCCGGTTAGACTTGAAAGCCACAAGGCGGCAACCGACGACGGACAACGGCAAGCCAGCCATTTCATGATCAGGATTAATGCATCTATGCTCAGGAGAGCACAACAGTCATGTCAATAGTGAACGAACGGAGAACCCGACTAATAGACCGGAGTCCCTGGTACAGTCTCTGAGGAGGCTCTGGGGAAGAAAGAATTCAATGCCATCTCGACATATGTAACTACGGACACCAAAATTAAACCAACCACGAACTAGTTTAACCTAACCTTTCAGGGGGGCAGGCCAATGGGCCATTGGCTAAAGGGGGTCAAAACTGGAATTGGGTGCTCCGATAGTTTAATGACCCTTACCAGGATCATGTCGATTCATTGTCCAGCAGCAAATTGATATTGGCAATGTACCAAAACCATAACCTGAACTAGCTTGTGCAACAGAAGTATCCACGTTGTTTTGTGGCATAAATCCAAGGACAATGCGGAGTTCCGTTTCCATCAACAGAAGCCATACACCACTGGATCTTGAAACCCGTCCGTTTCCATCGTTTGATACCAGCCGGGCTTTGAGACTCCAGCCTATCTGGTTGTGAGTGAGGGTTGCCAGGGGGGGAGCTCAGACAAGCCTCCCCCCTGTGAAGTACCCATACCATAGCATACGAAACCATCCAATACAATCCTGTCCCGTCTTTTGGGCCCTTGTCTGTGCCTGTCAATCAATCAATCAATCAGGATTGGATCTACCGTGACAATGCCAATGCCAATTCCAATACCACGCGACTTTTGGAGTATTTTTGTTTTGTTTTCGAGATATAGGGGTAATTGATCTATGAGGTTAGTACGGACATCATTATGTAATTGCTGTAGAGATAGTTCCGGTGATAGGAGTTTCCAATGGAAACAGAGATGGAAACCTAATTACCTAGTTGAAGCAATCCATTCCTAGGTAGGTTTGGGTTCGGGAAGAAGCAGATAGCGTGATGAAATTAGATGCATTTGTTAATTCAATGCCGGGTAAACTTTATGTATTTTGTATACAGGCGAAGCGTTGGTATTTTTCAACATTATGAGAACAACAGAACCTGCATGCCTCTGTCAACTGCTAAGCTGCATTGCTTTGGCATATTAACTACAAAATTATAGTTTATCTTTGAGCCTACCTGGGTACTTACTATGTGAGTGAGCATATGTTAGATGGTTGCCCTTTTTTGTCCTTTTCCCCTGGGACGGACAATTTGGACCCCTATGTAATAGTGGGGTTGGGCCTGACGCTTCACCCGTTTTCTGCGCGCTAAAGCAATCAACCCAAGCATTGGATGGAAACTTCTCTCTCCAGTTCCACTGTTGAAAGGATCAGTTTGCCCGTTCAATGTGACTTGAAACGCTTAACTACAGCCCCTAACAAAAGAGGATCTCTATCACGTTCTCGATTTTGCCAATATCATGTCCATGTCCAACAGCTTTACAGGGGAATTCTTTGTGCTGTCTTTATTTAACCTTTCTACTTTTGGGTATTGGCTTGTCAGGTGCATACATTACCTGTATAGGTAGGTACTTACAGTACAAGCGAGAAAGAAATAAAAGCCATTCGACTCGTATTCTTTCTCTTTGCTGCACTACATTGTCGCCCCCCAGTCAGCTGTGAAACATCAACGCGGGCCTTACCGCAGTTTTGAGGCATCTCATCTCACTTTCCAAACACAATCGCCTTCAGGGAGACGGAACTTAGTTCTATTTTCGGAAGCGTCTCAGGCGCTTCGTAAACGCGCCACCCGCTCCATGCTCTACTCTATATTCATGCTCATTCATGCTCGTGCCTTTTCGTTTTCCGCTCACTGTATGATTCCGATCGATGCTTACGTCTATGAGGGATGAGGGATAGAAACGTCGGTCTGATAACTCTTTGTACTAGTCGCATTCATTTACTACTAGTGGTCCCGTTTCTGATCCCACCACGTCCTGCGATGCTACGCCTTGACCAGCTCAAGACTCTCGATTAACAAGGCCTCGTCCCTCACCTCTCGCCTATTATCCTAGGTCTGGAAGTGGCCGTCCCCCTCCTGCCGCTCTTTGCCATGTGTCACTTTGTTCCGTTAGTGACTGATACCCATGTTTATTCGTTCGATTAACTTGTGAACTCGTATATTCATCACTAACATCATTGCCCTCTCTTTAAGCGACAGTACAGATAACAATGACAAAGCATTTACCGAGTCTAGCAAGTGATCAATGTGAATTCTCGAGGTTTCAACCAATAATTGTCCGTGCATGTCAACAACCCTGAAGTGTCACTTCTCCTCTTGGCTCACAAACCACCTACAGTTCCAATAGCGGGAAACGTAACACCCGAAGCTCCTTGATTGTCTTCCCAATCCGTTTTCTGTAGCACAGATACGTTAACGTGCTTGTACAATGAACCTTGCTTTTTCTTAGTTTGTTTTAGTGCCAACACAACGGTTTTGATAATGTCCCAACCTTAAGAGTGTGATGAGAGGCTTACGATACTGTAGCTGATAGTAGAGTGCCCTTGATAATAATCAACAACAAAACCAACCGGCTTTAAATTATAAGACAGATCGAATGGATCCGGGGGATCATGCATCATGTTTACAATGAAGAGGCATAAGTAGGTGGAAGTCTGGTTTCGTTTTATTATATAGTCTAATATGTCTTCATATACATCCATAATCTCATATAACTCCCTTCCCGTCTCATTCCTCATAAACATGCAGCATTCTGTCCCATAATATATAGACTTGTCTTTAGACGTGCTGCAATTACAGCTCATCCTTTGCCCCAGCAGCATTGCCGCCGTTGCCCTCCTTACCACCATCTTGAAGACCCCTCTTGACCATAGAGCTAACAATTTCATAGACAACCTGGGCAGCAGCTAGGGCAGTTTCCTCGCCTCCGTTCTGGTAAGCAGGGGATACTTCGACAACATCAGCACCGACAAGATTCAGGCCCTCAAGCCCACGAAGGATACGGATGAATTCGCGAGTAGACCAGCCGCCGGGCTCAGGTGTACCTGTGCCAGGCGCAAAGGCAGGGTCGAGAACGTCAATGTCCACAGAGAGATAAACGGGGTTCTCAGTACCAAGGACCTTGAGGATACCGTCAATGATGCCCTTTGTTCCAAGGTCATCAATGTCGTCGGCGGTGAAACGGACCCAGCCTTGGGATGAATCATCTTCGTGGTCGGAGAAGTCGGTGCCTGTGAGACGAGTGCGTAGACCAGCGTGGACAGAGCGCTCGGCAGAAGAGTTGGAGAGCAAGCCTTCTTGGTTTGCCATCCAGAACATGGAGCCGTGGTTAAAGTGAGTAGCTCCCCACCATGAGGGATAAGCAGCTGGGTTCCATGTATCAAGGTGAGCTGTGATGATTGTGTTAGTGGTAAGGTCTTTAGCAAGCCTACACAAGAGCTCGATTTTTCAATAATTGCCAGTCGACTCACCATCAAAGTGCAAAACCTGGATAGGCTTTCCATGGATCTCGTTCAGAGCTCGTAAAGCAGGGAGAGCCAACGAGTGATCACCACCCAATGTCACAAGACGAGCCTTAGGTGCCAGCGCGGAGACAGTCCTGCGACGACCAAGCTGCTTGAACGCCTGAGTCATCTGCTCACGAGCAATGCCGTTGTCAATTGGTGTAACAGAAACGTCACCGCAGTCAACAATCTTAGCCCAATTCTGGTACGGGTTGATACCAGCTCGGGGGTTAAAGCCACGCATCGACGTTTGGCGGGCAGACGCTGAGCGGATTGCTCGAGGGCCAAAGCGAGCTCCAGGGCGGTAGCTCACGGCTGTGTCAAACGGAACACCAACGATGGCGATGTCAAATGGTTCAGTGGGCTCTGTCAGACACTTGACATGTTTGAGATGGGCAAAGGTGTTGATGCCAGCAAAAGGCCACTGGCCGGTGTCAGCGTGTATTTCATAATGAACCCGCCATGGTAATGAAAGGGTTAATGCTCAGGGATTGTTACATACTTCGTAGCCCCATTTCGCCTCAAGCTCGTCAAGTTCCTCCTTAGTCCACTGCTTATCGTCATGTTCATGAGCGCAAGCCGCTGCCAGGCCCGCCAAAGAGAGGAGGTTCAAGAGCTTCATGATGCTAAGCTGTCGTGATATGCGAGTAAGTCCAGCTGGCAGTATCTGACCTCAAAATTCAGTGAAGGATAAGAAAAGGAAAACGAGGAAGAGGAAGAAGGGAAGGAAGTAGCATCTAATATAGCAAGTTATAGTCTCTCACAACCCCCTCCTCCTCCTTCAGTCTCTCTGCCGGTTGCCATTCGGCCCCACGAGTCAAGATGTGTCAACCCACGCCTTTCCAACATAAAGAAAGACTCAAAAGAGTGCCACACTATCTAATTGGCTAATCGATCGAATAACTATCTGAAAATGTCACAAACCCACCCCGCAGTTCGCTACCGACCGTCTTCTTCCCCGCCTCAAAGGCCTTGAACACTGTTAGGAAGAGGTGGTTTGCCTGATTGAGGCATAGAATCGCAGATAAACACTATGAGATCACCTTTGGGTTTAGATAAAGCAGCCAGAAAATGGGTCCAGTCGCTTTGGAACTAGGTTGAGATAGGAAAGTTGGAGCGACAACTCGCCTCATCTGATGTCCTCGGCAGTTGTGAAATAAACAGCAAAATACGACTTGAAAAGGTTATGTCTTTTTTCGTATTACAATTATTGATGTTATGCTCTCAATGTTCGGGAATACTACATTTTGCCAAGAAGGCGATACGTAAGTATGGCCTTCGAAAACATAACACCCAATGGTAAGCCCATGATAGATACCTAGCACTTCAATATCGACGGTCATTGTCTCCTCGACATGACAATGCTCATCAAAGAGTAGGCATACATACAATTTCAGTAAATCTTTCTAACAGTCAGTGTAACTCATCAAGGTCCCAAATACGAAATGCAGAAATTTTCTATAACATAGTATGAATCAAGACAAGACATTGATGTAAATTGCACCCCAATCGCCAAACTGTCCTATCAAAGCATTCCCGCCTGGATGTATGAATTGTCATCGCCCGCAAGCTCTCGCGTACTTCCCCGCCCCTTACTTCATCAAACCGTCTTGGGAGGATCAGAGAACGAGCGTCCTTAGATGCCGGCCATAAAAACTCAACGAGTTCGCGGAACAGAGCCGGCTCGTCGTCAAGAGAGGCTCCGGTTGCCGGCCAGGGCTACGCCCAGCGTCCCTTAGCAGCTCTTTGATCCGCGTTGCCGTTTTTTCGATCGTCTGTCTTTCCTTCACGGAACAAGACACATTCTCGTTCCACCATCTAACCCACGCTGAGAATAGGACGACCAATCCCCGCGAAACACCTCACGTTCCGTTTCACCCGCTCAAGTCATTCCAATGTCGTCTCGTCGTGCCTTTATCAAGGGTTTCGATTCGTGCATCTCAACTGAGCATGTTGCTGGCTGACAACCATTTTCACTGAGTAGAACAAGGTGGTGTCATGACCAGGCTGTGGCCTACCTCTGTCCTTTTATAGGACGAGGCACTTGTGTGACTTCTTCTTTGGGGCGGGGGGTTCGAGAGCAGCCACAATAGCCTGCATAATGGTCAGAGGAAATTCTAAGAGGGCCTTCTTAGGCTACAATGGGTTTCACGAATGACAACATACCTCGTCAAACACATCCTTAAGTTTGTACTGGGTAAGGGCACTGCACTCGACATACTTGACCGCACCTAGGTCTTTGGCCATTCGCTCGCCGTCCTCTCGTCGCACTGGCTGCATCTTCTGCTTTGACAGCTTCTCACGGACGCTGGGATCATCTCTCAAATCGACCTGAGTGCCAACAATCAAGCAGGGAACACCAGGGCAGTGGTGGCGGACCTCGGGGAACCATTTCTCGCGAACGTTTTCGAATGAAGCGGGCGAGGTGACGGAAAAGCAGACAAGGAAAACATCGGTTTGAGGATATGACAGAGGTCGCAGCCGGTCGTAATCTTCTTGACCAGCGGTATCGAATAGTCCGAGAGTGTATGGCTCATCACCGATCCTGCGGCCTGTCAGCAATCTTTCTATAACCGATTGCGTTCGTCCACTGAAAACATGCGCAAGAGGGTTATATCGCACAGGACTCAATATGACATTGCTCCTGGTGACCAATATGGCATTCGCAGCACAGGACGTCCATTACAGGTGGGGTGCGGCGTGTGGGGGGCTGGCGTCGATCTGAAGGGTGTGCAGGTAGACTCACATAACAGTGACAGCGTAATTGTCGAAGACAGTCGGGACATATTCGGATGGGAATTTGTTTGTTGTATAGCTGATGAGAAGACAAGTCTTTCCAACAGCACCGTCACCAACGACGACGCACCTGAATAGGGGTTAGATAAATTAGCTCCTTGAGAAAACAGGCAAAATGGCAAGAGAGGGACGAAATGGCATGCAGTGCCGATGCGCAGGTATGCCGGGGGCGCTGTGCTTTAGAGTGACCTCGGTGAGGAGATAAATCGAGGCAAAGCACAGCAACGGATAAAGCAGCACAGCGGTACGAGCCTGTGCTTCCAAACGTACTTGATAGTAGCGACAACCGCCATTGTTCCTCTCAAAGGCTCCTGTGCAGGAGCTTGACTCTGTCAAAGCGAAATGCAAGCGGTCGAGAGTAGCGAAGCTCTATTGGCGGGCGGATGCGCGCAACTACGGTAAGAGAGCGGGGGGGAAGCGGAGCGGAGAAAGTCGAGTCGGTGTCGGTGTCGGTATTGGTATCGATGTCGGGGAAGATGGGTCGCGAGATGAGGGATAAGTCAATATCAAGAGATTGTTTTCGGCGTTGTATGGTTTTGATGGCGGATGTAGGTGGTCGAAGTCAAGATTGAGGTGGATGCGGCCTGTGGTAGATAGGCAGGCAGATTGGTTGGCGGCGGATGGGCAACTATGGAGTTGCGTTGCGTTTTGATTCGGTTTGGCCTGGCTCGGTTTGGCCTTGGGCGGTGGTGCAGCAAATGGGTGGAGGCGGAGAGGCCCGTTAAGTGAGAGGAAGGGGAGGAGAGGAGAGGAGAGGAGAGGAGGGAGCAGGATGCTACCTGGGTATGGTTGGCGGGAGACACGGGCAGTTAATCGATTTGATGTGCGCCTAGCAGTAGTAAAAGAGAGAAGAGAGAGAGGGAAAGTGAAAGCAGTAGGGGAAAAAGAGAGAGGCGCAGGGTCCTAGATTGGTGATAACGGTAGTAGGTAGATACTAAGTGGTGGTAATGGGAATGGAAAATGGTAGCTTGTGGCAGCGGCAGTAAGTGGCAGTGACGGTTACGCGCAGTGGGCCTTGATGAAGTCTATGCGGGCAACAGAGCAGTGCACAGTAGAACATCGTCGTAGAGACACCAAGCCAGGCAGAAAATCAAGGCAAAGCCAAGTAGGACAAGTCTGACAAAGTACCTGCTACGTTGGATAATGGACCACTAGACCTACTCGCCTTAGTAGGGACCAGCGCTACCAGTCCATCCCAGAGCCAACCTTTGCCAGCACAGACAAGACAGGGGATGGGTATTACAGGGAGTGACCGAGGAGGGGGAGGTTGGATTAGCACCACTGAAGTTCCAGGTTTAACCCAAGGACCCGACAGATTGTACCAAGGTATGTGCTTTTACGTACAGCAATGTACAATATTGAGCTGCGAGGCTGGTGGTATAGCAAAGTACCATTTCGAACAACCGAGTAGACAGTCTAATAGCTCTACAAGTGGAGGTGAATTGGTATTTCTGTCTGCCCACCAAGCTACACATGGCAGTTATGCAATCGGCCACTACGAGGTAATACGACAATAAACGGTCAAGATCATAAATACCGACCACCTGCTAGTAAGTGACTACAGTAACAATACCGGGCCTGTCCGTGTTGTTAATGCCTGTGCTACTCTAGATACCTCTTTGGGCAAGTATCGTCGTGTTTACCGACTTTAAGGATCCAAGATAAGAGCAAGGGTCCAAAATATTGTGGGCGTGTTGATGGGCAATTATGTTGGTTGATGCTAATACTACGTACTTGAGTGACAGGTAACTCAAGACAAACAGATTCAGTCAAAACCTAAAGAGATCGGGTAATAAGAAGAAATTGTGCCTGTAGTTATTACATATGAAATGGCGATGCAAAGACGCTCGGGTTTTTTATTGACAGTCCCTATGTGCAGCGACGATCCACTGTTAGCTGTTAATAGCTTGCTACCCCTAAATCCGTCACATCAACGTCATGTTTTCAAGTATCGCTCTATCAGTCGGGTATCGGATTCATTAACACCATTTAACCTTGCCTGGTATCATCATTACTCGATTTAACTTACCTTTAGTCAATCATGAATTTCTTTTGCCATCGACCTGAAGGTGAAACAAAATGCGAGAGATCTTCTTTGTGACGACACAACCTTGACCTTGGCACAAAGATATGGTCTGTCTTTGTCTGCAAAAGGCAAATAAACGGACTGCGCGAGAACCCTTTCCTTTGATCAAATATCCCGACTGGCAGTACCTAGTCAAAGACAACAAAAAAGAAACGATTGGTGACAACACGAGACCCGGTCAATGGCGTCTCTACTTCTAACACTATGGCTCAAACAGTTGCCAGTGCTTGCACAAAGGCCATCTGCATCATCGTGAAAAAGCAATAACCAGTCAAGGGGGGGTCAACGACTAGGATGATGATCTTCCTCCACGAGTTGGTCAGGTCTGGTTGTTCTCCGTGCGCTGCTTTGTTGTCCTTCTAGAGATTGCTTGTCCTTTGGACCGCTTTACCATGTGGTTTGGTCTCATATCAGATCGTTGTCTCATCCGATTGGGCTCGCTATATTCGGAAGACTCGTCCTGTCTTGTCTTGATGACTTCGCCTCGCCTCGCCTTGTGTATTGCACGAGCTGCTGTGAGGTCCATGGTTCGACCTTAGACATGGAAATCCATCTAATGATACCCGAGAGAGCTGGGCCGAGGCCTGTTGTAGGCCCAAGCTCGTAACCAACTTGGTCCCATGTATGGGCTAAGTCTGTGTATGCCCTATGTCGCAGCGTTTGTGTCTTCGTCTTCGTCTGTGTATGTCTTCTCCTAGCATCCTTTAAGGAGTGTGCTTTGACGCAAATTGAGAACCACGCGTGACCACAGCACATGGTGGATCTCTATGCCATGCGTTTCGTCTTGGGGACCTGTGTAAACGACCCCGGTTTTCTTTGACGATCAGTAGTGAGTCGTTTATGTGAAGAATGTTGAACATAGACTCCTGTCCAACACACACTGAAGGTCTGCAAGACCAACCACAACCAACCTCTTTTGCAAGGCTGCTCAAGTCCCTGCTGTTTGTGAAGCCAACACAAGCTACCTAACAGATTGCCGTTAGTCAGGGAATTCGGCTAAACCACGTTGACAAGACAGACAACCTGGTAAGAAACAAAAAATCGGTGACTGGGGGAACACGCGCAGACCCAAATCTCGGGATAGTTATCCTAGCACCCGCTCGCTAGTAAAGGGAACTTACCGACAAACACTTTAATTCACACTCAAGCTTCAGCCCAGGGATATTACTTTTACCAAGGATTCCCTACTCAAGTTTATGCAGTGGAGATCAGTCTCAAGGCTTGCTTCATACTGCACATGCGTACAAGTTGCAATGCATGTGAGTCCGTTTTGTCCTGTCCTATGCCGTTTATTTAACGGCTGTCAAAATTCTCCTAATGCACTGTTGGTTCGTGTCGAGCAACGTGGGACGAGTACAGAGTAGGGGGATGCAACTTAACTGTCTGTCTCACCGTCCCATCAGGCTGCATGCTATTTCCATCCAACGTGGCTCTGGCTGAGACACGGGCTCCATTTCAATCTGCATATCTGCATGGTCTTGTGTGGCTTAAATTGAGTCCTTCTGTTGGATGAACATGGTAATCAAGTCGATTATCACGGAGCACCCTGAAATTCGAAACGAACATTGTCGAATTCGGTTGAACGTTGGTAAAGCTTCAGGTTAAGTTATCAGCATGTTAATTTATCAAGGTTTCGATCCCATCTTTCCTAAACACTGAGGCTTAACTTCTGCCATCTTACCGATTGACTCTTATTTTGAAGTGAATACAGAGCACACATTAAGATATATATATCTAGTTTTTTTCGAAGCTGAGTGAGTATATACTTTCTCCAATGCCTACCTTCCTAATAGAGTGCCGTCACATATATATGCCAAGGCCGTCGGCGTACCTCTCGGCGAACTCCTTGAGGAGCTACGAAAAGTGCATCATGCCACGCTCTAGACATTGTAACGCCACCTCTACATGAATTCCTCTTTTCGACAACTAGAATTGTCTAGATTCTGACTAGGAATTCGTAAATCAATATGCAATCCTACCCAATGGTGACGATCTGAAATGGTCACTCTGAGTGTTGTTGAGGTAACTTCCAGCAACATAAAGACTTTCGCATTCAGTATTATTCATAACAGCCGTGAACTATCCACCAGGAATAGATCTTCAACCCCATACTTCATATGGCATATCAAGAGATCTTCCGATATTTTCTTAACTAAATCGACTAGCGTCCGCGAAGCCGTTGAAGTATATCTTGAAAGGTGGGTAGCTCCCGCCTATGTTTCCTTCTGTCCACAACGCTGAATGGCCCGGACTAGTTTCTTCTTGCAGATGATCATGCAACCGGTAGTTGAGAACAGTCTGCAGCTTCGGCCAACATCTCGAAGTCATCAACACCCAATCTGGCGCTAAGCCTCAAGGGGAGAATTGACCTGTCATCCATCCATCGTCGGGGCGCAAAAGGTCCGCAATCCGGAAAGTTGAGTGGGTACAGAGAGAAAGAGGAAAGAGGGCGGCTATATGTCGAGAGAAAATAGAGTCGGTTATAACTCAACGGTTCCGCTCTGGCTTGTTTTGCTTTGATGGACACTCTTTTGGAATTTGGTGGACTGAGCGCTCTCTACTGAGGGGACTGTTGACCATGAATTTGCTCGGATGGACTCAGAGGGATAAGCCTCCAGTCCTGCTCAAGGTGAGGTCCTCAGCTGGTCTCATCGTCACCACATGTTCCTTTGCCATCTTCACTGTAAGTAATATCCGTTCTCTGGCTTGGCTGAACAGCTTGACTTATCTCACTTGACAGGACATCTTCCTGTACGGTGTCATTGTGCCTATTCTCCCATTCTCTTTCGAGGAACGGGTTGGTATTAGTCCAGACAAAGTGCAATATTGGGTTTCGATAGCATTGGCCGTTTTTGGTGCTGCCCTCTTGGCAGGCTCTCGTAAGTTTTTTTTCTTGCCCCTTGAAACGACGATCTGATTTCTGATGGTGGCTATGACAGCTGTTTGGGGTTATTTAGCGGATAGAAACCACAATCGTAAGATCCCCATGCTGATAGGTCTCATCGTACTATGCGGAGCTACCGTCTTTCTATGCGTTGGCCGTACGCTCGCTCTTTTCATGGTTGGCCGTGCTCTGCAAGGCATATCAGCGGCACTGACTTGGACTGTTGGCCTCGCGTTGGTTGTTGATACTGTCGACAAAGAGCACATTGGTAAAGCTATGGGTTGGATTAGCACTGCTTGTAGCCTGGGTATCTTGGTGGCACCTCTGCTGGGTGGTGTTGTCTATGGCAAAGGTGGCTACTATTCTGTTTTTGCAATGTGTTTCGGTCTACTTGCCGTAGACATTGCCCTTCGTTTTGCAATCATTGAAGTCAAGGACGCCAAAGTTTGGCTCGATAGGGCGGGAATAACACCATCCGCAGATCAAGAGTGCGCTTTGGAGGGACCAAATGAATCAAAGGGTGACAAGACTGAAGATGCACCTGTTCGGACAACTGACGACCAGGCTAAGGAAGTGCCAGACCCATCACGCTCACCTATCAAGACTCTAGTCAAGCTTTTGAAGCAACCCCGATTCTTGGCTGCTCTGTGGGGAACATTTGTCCAGGCACTCATCAACACGGCACTTGAAAGTACGCTTCCTCTCCTCACGCATGAGATCTTTGGATGGGACTCGATAGGGGCAGGTTTGATCTTTCTGCCTTTGATTCTGCCGTCTTTCCTTGGTCCTGTGGTCGGCATGATTGGTGATCGATATGGGCCCAAATGGCTTGCTTCCTTTGGCTTTCTCTTCGCAACACCCTTTGTTGTGTGCCTAATGTTTGTTGACAAAAACACCATACAGGACAAGATCCTATTGTGTGGTCTCCTCGCCGGTGTAGGTATCACGATGGCCTGCATCTTCGGCCCGCTAATGGCCGAGATCACATGGGCCGTTCAGGGCGAGGATGGAACTGGCGGTGCCGGCCAGATTGCTCAAGCGTATGGCTTGTACAACATGGCTTACTCGGGAGGATCTTTGGTAGGGCCTATCATGGGCGGAATGGTCAAGGATAGCTCCGGATGGGGCACTGTAGGCTGGAGTTTGGGTATAGTTGTATTTGTGTCAGGCATTCCAACGTTATTGTACACGGGTGGACCTCTCAAACACAATTTCAAGATCAAAGATCGAAGGAGAAGAAGTTTAGCTGAGGATTAAATAAAAGTGATGGATGGAAATCAACAATTAGGTATCAACTGTACAAGGTACTTGCCTCTAACGTCTCCATCTCACACTCAAGAGGTGGTAGGAGCGACCGTGGTCCGAACTAAACCCAAAATGTATAGGTAGCGCACCTGCCTGAGCAGTCAACTGCCAGGTACCTAACTACCTACCTGACTTCGCTTGTAGGCAGCATCAATATTCCTCCATCTTCAAAATATTCTCTATCAACCGTTTACCTCTTCTCATCTTAATAAATATAGAGGATAGTCGATGAAACGGCGAAACAGTCGTTCAAAGTCGACGCCTTCCTTACTTAATTCGAAACTGAGCTCCCCAGAAATTCGAGGCAAAACACTTAGCATTATGGATCAGCAACACATTGACAAGCTCCTCGAACGCTATCTCGGCCTGCTGGATGAATATACCCAACTACGCCAATCCTTGTCGCAACTGCAATCCGGTGTCTATCAGAACATCGCTCGTGCAAATTTCTCTGGAGAGAGAGGCATGAGGTACGGTCGGGACCACTACGATGAAAGAATGCAAGCAATACGGCTTCTATCTATTGGCCAAAATGAGCACCAAAGTCCCATTTTCTCACTCTTCAATGCCCCCGAGGAGGAGGAAGAAGAAGAAGAAGAAGAAGCAAAAGCGGAAGAACGAGATGAAAGCTCGGCCACTGGCGGACCCAAGCAAGGTCCAAAGCCAGAGACTGGAGAGGAAAAGCCAGCAGAAAAGAAGCTTAAGAACCCTCTGCGCTGGTTTGGCTTATTTGCTCCCATGAGCCTCCGTACAGCTCAAACACAATCTGTAAAGGCAGTAGAGGATATCATTCCTAGGATCGTGTCTATCAACGCTGAAATGCTCGATGTCGAGATTGAAGTACGACGAGCTCGAAAACGTCGTGCCAAAGCAGAGATGGCAGAGAGAAAGTCAGGTCAAGCCACAACGGACACTCAGTTACAAAGTCCAGCACTTGAGGCATCATGATGGTACTGTTATTTCTCTCAGAAATGGAAACAGATAAAATTCTCGAAAAATAGAATCATTCTAGATGTCCCCAAAGGTTGTTCAGACTCTCGGCCAGGGTCGGGTGAGCATATACAGCTGCCTCCAAATCCCACCACTTCAAGTTACCCATCATAGCAGTCTGCACAATCGACATTATCTCACCCCCTTCAAGACCCAAACATGTGAAACCAAGAATCTCTCCAGTCTTTACATCAACAGCCGCCTTCATCATTCCGCGTGGCTCTGCTGTCTCCAGGGCCCTTGCAACATAGCTCATCGGCATCTTGGCAATTTTGACCTCTCTTTTACTGTTGAAGAGATCGCGAGTGTGAAGTCCGACATGACCGAGCTGCGGATCTGTGTACATAACATAAGGCGTCAGTACTCTCGAAACCGAAGACTGCGTCGTTGGCATGGCTGGAGTCGTGGATGTCATGCTCTTTGGCAAGAGGTTTGTGCGAATGATGCGAGAATCATCATACGACATGTGCGTGAATGCAGCACCGCCGTGGCAGTCGCCCAGGGCATAAACATCAGAAGCTGAAGTTTGTAACTTGTCATCCACCACTATATGTCCCTTGGTCGTCGTTTTAATACCAACTTCGGAAAGGTTGAGTCGATCGGTGTTAGGTACCCGCCCAGCAGCCAACAGAATATGCGATCCAGCGACGTCAGTCTGACCATTTGTAGTTTGGACGTTTACCACAAAAGAAGTCTTCGAGTCTGCGGTGGATGAGATTGAATTTACTGTACTCGACAAGTGTACAGTGAGGCCATCCTGTTGAAGGATATCGTAAAGGCATTCGGCTATGTCAGGGTCCTCACGCCGCACAAGCTGCTTCGCCCTCTGAATAACCGTCACTTCAGAGCCCAAGCGACGAAAGAGTTGTCCAAACTCAAGGCCGATATATCCGCCGCCTAGCACTACGAGATGTTCTGGGACCTCGTCAAGCTCCATTATAGAGGTTGAGTCGAGAACTCGTGCTGGATCAACATCACCTAGACCCGAAATCTCTGGTCGCGATGGTCTCTCACCCACGTTGATGAATATCTTGTCGGCACTAACCTCCTTCTCACCCCCATCATTCAACACAACTTTGACTTTCTTATCTCCCACAAAACTTCCCTCTCCCATAATGACATCCACTCCCGCTGCATTCAGACCTCTGACACTACCCGAGTTCCATTGCTCGACGATTGCACGCTTACGCTGCCTCACACGAGCCATATCGATCTCAAAGTTGCCGTTTCCTGCATGTACGCCATAATCTTTACCTCGTCTGGCCATGTAGGCCGCTCGTCCAGATGCAATCATGGTCTTTGTAGGTGTACATCCAACGTTGACACAAGTGCCGCCCAGTGCCGTGCGTTCGATGACGGCTGTCTTGTGACCGGCATTGGCAAAGGCTTTAGCGACAGGGTTGCCGCTTTGGCCAGAGCCGATGATGATAGCGTCGTAATGGGCGGCCATTGTGTGAAGGAGTTGGCGTTTGATTATCCTTGGGGCGGGAGTAAAATAGAAGGCTAAGTTGGTGAGCTGGTTCATTTATACAGACATGAGTCGGTTAAGTCGGCACTGATTTAACTGAAGACGACCAAAAGAGCCGTGGACAGAAGCTTCTTATGTTTGAGTCGCCTTTCATCTGTTACGATGTGGTAGTGCTTACGTTTTTATGACTGTTGTTAAATACACTTTGGATGGTGGCATACCTGCATCAAGCCATCATGCTACCCCTCATAAGACTGTCACATTCTCCTTGGCCAGCGAGCTTCGTCAATAACGCTGACCAAGTGCGGGCGCTGCAGAGTAAAGGATGAATAAGCTGCTTACATAGCGTCGCCGATGGCGCCTCATTGCTGTATATATAATTCAAACAGTAGTACTCATGAAACAAACTCTATGTTACAAAACCCAGCATCATGCCATGTCTCTTCTCATAACATCGGCTCCTCACCTTGTATACTATCCCCATCATCAGCGCCGTCACCGCGCAGCAATCCGCTGCTTTCGCCGCCGCCGTTGTCGTCTGGCGTCCTATCTGCTACACCAGTCTCATGGCCAGCACCAGTTGATGCTAGGCCCATGGTGCGACGTGTCTCCTCAGCACCGTTGAGAACATACCAGACATCCTTCTTTGTTAACAAGCCCTGAAGGACGCCGCGGTCGCTGAACAGGAGATACCGTAAACCAAGTTTCTGGAAGTAAGTCGCGACAAGGTGGAGACTTGTACGTGAGAATTGAGTGAGGGGCGTTTGATCCATCCATGGACGAAGATCAAGAGTAGTGCGAGGGTCGGCCATGGGCTGATGGGAAAAGAAGGTTTCCGTCTCTGGGGGGAGCGAACGAGGTGCGTTCGTAGCAGCCGAGAGGTTGTACGCGAGCTCGCCACGAGAAATATAGCCGAGAAGAATAGCTTCTCTGGGATCGGATATGACTGGAAAGCCACGATACGGGTGCATCTCAAGTATAGTTGTAAGCGAGGAAATGGTATGGCCTGTGGCAGTAAGGACAACGAGGTCCTCAATGCGAGTCATAACTTGCGCAGCGGGAATATCAGGGATAGCATCGTTGTTCTCGCTGTTGTCAAGGAAAGGGTACTCGTTGAAGTGAATCCATGATTCGTAGATACCGCGACGCGAAAATGCATCGCCTACCCATTTTGATATCATGACCGCAATCATGATGGGAAGCACATATGTGAGAGCACCAGTGAGTTCGAACATGATGACCACGATGGAGACCGTCAGACGAGTGACACCAGCAAGAGACGCCGCTGCGCCGACGATAGCGTATGTGCCTGGCGTTACGCAGGGAATGTCAGGCTCGCATGAGCCAAAAAGGAAGAAGCCTGGGTGGTTTGTGACCCAGATCTCCATGATGATACCCACGGCACGGCCTGTCAAGGCACCAATAGCCATCGAGGGGAGAATAATGCCGGCAGGAATTTGCAAACCAAACGTTACAGCAGCAAGAAAGAAGCCTAAGACTGATGCAAAGACAAGGAGGACAATAGTTTTGGCCGAAGCGGCTCCTGTTCTACAGAGGCCGATGGGGTCGTCAAGAACTTGTGAGCACTCAGAGAAAAGGTTCGAGACCAGCTCAGTCGTTTGAAGCTTCATGTAGAAGTTGGGATAGTTTATGAGTGCAGTGAAGAAGGCCACGATGAGAACCTGGATAAACGGACCAGGGATCCATCGGTTTGCCTTTTTCCAGCGAGCGATACCCATGTTGAGCTTGATGAACAGACCACCATGAATACCCTAGAAACGCTGTCAGCTATAGGTCTCTGCCGCAGGAGTATTCGACTTACACCTAGAACACCCAATATGGCATAGGGTAGCAGCTCAAAGCCATGCCATCCAATGCTGTAGTGGACCTGATACAAGACAAGTTTGCCAGATCTGAAGGGATCGAAAGCTTGAAGAACGACAGCGGCAGTCATGGCACAGACAAAGCTCTGCCACATCGTCTTGTCGGGGAAGTAGTAAGATAGGGTCTTGGAAGGATCAGTATCAAATGTCTGAGAGTGTATGGACGCCACTGACCTCCAAACTGAACAAGACGCCGCCAATGGGTGATCCGAAGGCGACCGAGACACCCGAAGCGGCAGCAGCTGACAGGACCTCACGTTTTCGAGCTACCAACGTCAGCCAAGAGTTGACAACTGCGAGTTGAAGTTTGCTTACCTTCATTGTCATTGATGTTTCGAAACAGTTTCGTAAAGACGTTTGCGCAACAGCAAGCGACGTGAATCAAAGGGCCTTCTTTTCCTAGCCACATGCCTGATGCCACAGCAAGAGACTACGAGTGTGTGAGTGACCAGGCATGTTAACAGCGGGGCCTAAACTTACGAGTCCCAACGATTTGGTTATAAGAGTCCAGATTCCGAGGAACCTTCGAATAACGAAGCCCCCAAGGACGGTCTTGATCTCGGGGATACCACTGTGCTTAGCGTAAATCGCATATTCCTGGACAAGAACAGCAGAAACATAAGCGAACAGCATCTGAAGGTTATCGTTAGCTATGTTCCAAATGGACGGGGCTAGGCCAGGATATATCGTACCGCAAGAGAAACAAAGAACAAGTATTCAATAAACCACTTGCCACCTTTCGAATGCACACCAACAGCATCACCCCAAGACTTCCAGCCGTCGCACTTAGAACCCTGGTCATAGCCGTAACAGCAAAAGGCCTTATTAAGGTAGAAATGGCCTCCTTCCGGACCGCTGGAGCAGTATCCCTCCTTCAAGTCTCCAAGCCAATCGGTTGTAACGTTGATTCCCGCAGCGACAGCTCCCACGAGCATTCCTGTCAAGAGTAGGACGATCCAGACTTGGCTAGCATCAATGAGCCGTCGCACAGGACCTATAACGCCGGATGCGCTCGAGTAGAGCATTCGCAACCGCTGGCGCTCCTTTGTGTATTCAAAAATCCAATCAATGGCCGTAAGATCCTCGTACCCGACTCGACGTCCCGGTCCCTCGACGTACCAATCGTGCGGCGCTCCATCCTTGGTAGCTTCGTTAAAGATGACAGGTTCGGCGCGCAGGGAAGTGTTGGAGCCAGGGAAAACAGTAGGCGAAGCTCCCCTCGAGGAAGCATTGGATCGCGAGCCTGTGATTGCGGAGAGAAGTCGAGAGGGCGCAGACCATAATGAGGGGCCTTGTCTTCGCTTGAAGGTCATGGGCGCACTCAAGTTGCTTTGCAGGGGGTCCTCGCCTAGCACATGGTCTCTATCGCGCGCCCTCCCACGACCGCTGTCGTTGCTGGCGTTGTCATCGAGAAAGTCGAGCTCATCACGATCTTCGGAATTGGGCGTTTGCGACGAGGACGAAGCGGACGTGGAAGCGAAGGCGTAAGGGTATGTATCGTTTCGGGACGCTCCAGACATGATTCGGCTCATGACATTGTGCGACAGGGGCGCTCACAACTCGAGGTTTTCGCGACAAATAGAGAGACAGGAACAAAGAGAGACGAATTTGAGAATAAAAAAAGTATGTGGTATGAAACAAGAGGTTGTTGATGGAGTGAGGCTCAATACAGGCGTGGCAAGGCGCAGCAGCATGCCCATGCAATGGAGGACACGCAGTAACTAGGACTTACTCAGGCAGGTAAGTTTGGTTGGTTTCAGTGGGCTGTTCTATAGCTGTAGTGTAGGTATAACAAGCCTTTATTGCCTAAAGCGTCGAACCAACTGTCTGAACGCATCCATCATGGCGTTTGTTATTTATATCTGAGACAGGGGAACAGTGGAAGGTATTGAAACATAAACAATTGTTTTTCCAGATTGCCATGAGTCTTAATAACATTGTCTTGCAATGTTTTACCTGTGACAGGTACAGTATTTCCTATTTCCTCCCATAGGTATATTTTAGGAATGATAAATCGATTAGCCAATTAGTTAGTCAATCTGTAGTCAGTAACTATTAAATATTTGGCTGGCATAAAACCAGCTTTTGCTTTCTGTTCTATTGATATTGTCGTCGGAGGTTTCTAGAATACGGACCTATGCAATCTAGAAATAGTGGGTCTGTCAAAGTTGCCTACTATTGCAGGTCCATCAACATGAACTCTTAACAGTTACTCCTGACTACCTCGGGTGTATCTCAATATTGAGCCAGTCCTTACGTGCAATACTCGCAAGGAATCAGATTCATAGCAAACTATAAAAGCAAGCCCATCCATCTAAGCTATATACTCAAAATAGCACCACAGCAAAGATGGAGGAGAATACACCTACTACAGCAAAGATGGAGGAGAATACACCTACTACAGCATCGCAACCGGCGGATATCAACAAAATACTGTCTCTCCTAAGAGCAAAAGATGATACCCAAAGATTTGTAGGATTAGCGCTCCTCAAGTCCGTCCTCGATGGCTCAGAACAACTACAACAAGATGAGCAAACAGTCCAAAGCTTGTGGTCTAGTCTTTCACCAAAGTTCCTCGATCGCCTACTACGAACAGGTTCAAACCCTTCGACCAAGAATTCAAAAGAAATGCTTGACTTGGTTGTATCTGTTTTGCATATATTTTCTATTCTACTCCCCGACCAAGCGACAAGCGATGCCAAGTTCATCAACAGAATCCCTCTCCTCGTCAACGCAGTCCTATATAGGTATGACGCCCAGTGGAATTTACTATCAAATACTGACCGTGCAAACCAGTTCCGATGACACCACAAAGTTGATACTTCAGCTGCTCCATACTCTTGTCAGCTCGCAACAAGGAGCGCAAGCATTTGTCAAGATAGAAGACTTTAGCTCACTCACTGAGATCGCACCCAACCATGCCCAGGTTCTCGACATACTCTGTTTTGCATGGCTCAACTCTATGACTGGAGTCGAGGATCACACTGCGCTGGCTAAACAAGTTGATGGCACACTTCAAAGTCTAGTCTCGTCTTTCACCGGGACTGATGCAGTGACGCTTCTCGAGTTTCTTGGTTACTTTCTCCGGCACGCCAATTC